TTTAGTCTAACATGAGAGATTTGAGTGTGGTATATAAGAACGATTTTGAAGCCTCGCCCTGTCTGAGGATGACAAAATCTCGTCGAAACGTCGTACATTTATAATAAAGTTTTATCATTGCCCAATCAAACCGTCCCATAAGTTTTATTAACACGTTATGTTTTAAAAATACAATGGCTTCTATCTACTCATTACGCATCTTATTGTATTATATAAGATAAACATACTGTCAGTTGATTCCTTCGGTTTAAGGACCGTATCGTGCTGTATCTTATTAAGTTGTCTCAGCATAAATGAAAATATGAAAGTATTATGCTGGCCAGAACCTGATTTTGTAGTCTTCTGTTTACTTAGTGAGTAGGGTGTTAGAGAGATATGACACATGTGCGTTCACAACGCACTGAAAAACGGGACCGCTGGCGGTTCAGTGCGTTTGAATATATTATGGTTATGTTAATAGTATTGTTTTCTCTGCTAACCCCCAAGTATATGATGGCTCGTGCACAGAATTAATGTTTATTTGTGGACCAAAGGAAGGTTTGTTCGCTTTTTACCCCTCCCCTCCCCAGACGACGCCCATCAAATAGAATACAATTGAATTAAACTTTAATTAGCTTTAAAAATTAATGTATGCTTCAAATAAAAAACATTGTAGCGATTTAATATAGGAAAGTTAGTAATTTAATGTGAAGTAGAAAAATGAAATAAAATTCTCCTATCGTTAGTCTGGTTCAGCTACACTGTTCTATTTCATAACTATGACACATTCCTCTTCTGCAGAAGACTGCAAGCAACTCAGTGGACTAAAAAAATGTTCATGACAGCGACCCATTTTTTAAGAACGATCAAATTTTTCGGTAAATGTTTTTGATGAAGTACAGTTACAAATAAAGCCACTTCTCTAAAGTTAAACGTTTCGCCGTTACAGTTTAGTATACAAAGCGTAGAATTAATGTTCTTCTCAGTTACGTTTATGGAACTCTAACTTTACAGAACACTTGAAATAACTCAAACGGATTTCGTATTTAGGTAAAGGATTACTCAATGGCGCGAAATATATCTCCCGTTAAATTAATGTCGACTTTTGTTAATATGGAATACTTTGCTAGTAAGCAAATTCCCTTCAATGCATCTATTGCACATTTCCCTTTGTTTAACAAGTACTTAGTTTATCTGAACACTACAACCTTTGTCGATCTCTCTCTCTCTCTTTCTTAGAAAAAGTTAAAATGATCCTTCAATAAGTCTAACGAGTACTATCTTTTTTCAACTTTAAAACTCAACCATCTTGAACTTGATTAACAGGTTTTACCTTGTTTAATGCTACGTGTTCTGAAAAATAATAATGCAAACTGTAAAGTAAATTGTCGAAGAAAACCTTTTGCCTATTTCAACCAAACACACTAAGCCTAAGGAATGTTATTCACTACGACTTGAACAATGCCATTTCTACAATATACGATCAAAGACCTGCATGTTTTCGCGTCATTCTCCAATAAACTCAGATTTGATGATATCCACAGAATTCCTCACGGAACAAACTATGCATCAAACTTAGTTTTATCTCGTTATTGTTCCGTATAAAAATAGCGTTTCAGATATTCGCCTTTCGTCATCAATCGCAGCTGAGAAACTGAAAGAAAGGCTACCCGGGCGACACAAAAATGAGTATGAAATGCTATTTCAACCACAAGTCTGATTTGAAATACGTTATGGACAAATCAAGAGTAATCTAAAAAATATCTACAGTCTGATTTTTTATCATAAGTAGTTTTCTAATATAAAACAAAATCCGTTCATATTTGTTTGTTTGTTTTGAACGTCGCTCAAAGCTACACGAGGGTTATCTGCGCTAGCCGTCCCTAATTTAGCAGTGTAAGACTAGAAGGAAGGGAGCTAGTCATCATCACCCACCGCCAACTCTTGGACTACTTTTTTACCATCGAATAGCGGGGTTGACCGTGACATTATAACGCCCCCACGGCTGAAAGGGCGAGCATGTTTGGTGTGATGGGGATTCGAACCCGCAACTCCCGTCCATATTTCTTTAAAATGTTTATAAACTTGTCTAATTTCTTTTGAACCGTTCTAAGAGAATTGTAATCGCATTATTATTATATTTACGGCATAGATAAAAATACAGGGTGTCCGTAAATTATCTGACCAATTTTTAAAAATCAATCATTTTAAAAATACTATAGATAGAGCACCCCGGTTTTATTTAACTTGACGAACAACTCATAAAGTATTCTTCTCATTTCTGTTACAGATCCATTTTAGAAGCATCGCTAGAAAATAGTTCCTGAATACATTCCCAGATAGATGGTTTGGTAGAAACGGGCGAACATGATGTCTCCCCCACATTCGGCTGACATAATCTCGTTGGATATTTTCTTGTATGTGTGTGTGGGGGAAGGGAGGATCAAGTATATTCGACACCTGTGCGTGATATCGTCGATCGTCGCCACAGAATAATCGATACAATAATGAACGTGACTCCTGAGGTACTGAACAACACTTATATGGAGACAAGATATTTGCCTACACATTCTTCGAGCACCAGACGATGCACGTATGAGGAAGTATACTGCGACAAGAGATACACTTTATGAGTTGTTCGTCAAGGTAAATAAAACCGGAGTGTTCTATCTACAAACTGTTGGAAGTTATTAATTTTTAAAAAGGGTCATATAATCTACAGATATCTTGTAGAATCAAATAAGTTGACTCGTTATGAGCAATGCTTGGGAAAGAATTTATAAATAATAATTTGTATCTATTGTTATTCAGAGCTAGTTGTTGATCTATATTTTCTTTACCACTTCGTTTATAATGATCTCTGACAACATTTATAAATTTTTGAAATTTTTGTAAACAAATAAAATGTTGTTTTCGAAAAAAATAAACGTATTCCTTACTCGTCCCAGGGCAGTGATAGGGCCGGCTGTTGCCCAGTCGTTAACATACCCGGACTGTGAATCCAAAGGGTTCATGATTCGCGTTCTGTTTCCGTAAAAACACACTTCGCGCTTTCTGCGCGTGAGTGGGCTCTAACACAGATGATCAAACGCCACCCTTTGCTCAAAAGTATCCCAAATTTTGGCGGTGGGTGCTGTTTACTTGGTGCCTTCATTTTAATCTATCAGTTCAAAATTAGGACGACTATGCGCAGATAGTTCTTGTGTAGCTTTCCGCAAAAATTCTAAACAACGACAGGGCAACGACTGTCACGGTACGTTTTACATTACTGTCGAAAAGAAATAAAAAATGATATAACTTTATTCATATATTTATGTAGAGTTTCTGAGCTATTTCATGTATTGAAGCCATAATGTTAATTCTTCTATTTCCTAACTATTTCATGTATTGAAGCCATAATGTTAATTCTTCTGTTTCTTAACTATTTCATGTATTGAACCATAATATTAATTCTTCTGTTTCTTAACTTTTTCATGTATTGAAGCCATAATGTTAATTATTCTGTTCCTTAACTATTTCATGTATTGAAGCCATAATGTTAATTCTTCTGTTCCTTAACTATTTCATGTATTGAAGCCATAATGTTAATTCTTCTGTTTCTTAACTTTTCATGTATTGAAGCCATAATGTTAATTCTTCTGTTCCTTAACTATTTCATGTATTGAAGCCATAACGTTAATTCTTCTGTTTCTTAACTGTTTCATGTATTGAAGCCATTATGTTAATTCTTCTGTTCCTTAATTATTTCATGTATTGAAGCCATAATGTTAATTCTTCTATTTCTTAACTATTTCATGTACTGAAGCCATTATGTTAATTCTTCTGTTCCTTAATTATTTCATGTATTGAAGCCATAATGTTAATTCTTCTATTTCTTAACTATTTCATGTATTGAAGCCATAATGTTAATTCTTCTGTTTCTTAAATATTTCATGTACTGAAGGCATAATGTTAATTCTTTTGTTCCTTAACTATTTCATGTATTGAAGCCATTATGTTATTTCTTCTGTTCCTT